GGAATAAAAATAAAGAATTTGCAATCAATATTTTAGAATATACATCAGTTGATTACATTGTAATTTCTAGATTAAACGCATGAATAATGAAAATATCATGATAAAACACAAATGGATATCTCTGTTATAATAAGTTATTACAATCGAATAAACATTGCCTACAAATTGTATGCGTTTGTGCAAGTTAATTTAATTTATAGTTCACCTCATTGACAGTTAATCCATCTATTTCGAGAATTCGTACGTTTATCATAATTAATTCAAAATATGAAAATACTAAAATTCAATATTATGTGTTAACACAAAAATTATCCTCGACAAAATACAAAATACACTACTGTTTTAAATGGAATTATTGAATTTTAGAATTGGAATTATGAACAACTAACACATGCATATTAACTATTAAATAGATATAAATAATAACACAGTTAATGTATTCATATAATTATTTTTATATAAACAAATTAAAAATCTGATTTTAGACAAATTTTCTTATTTATTAAACTCAGTATCAATTATAATCACTCAATTATTCAAGAATTAAATTAATGTAATGAATAATTCACCTTCCTAAGACAAAGGTTTTCATATTTTATTGCTATGATAAATATCACCGTATAAAAATTGTCTGACTAAAATAATTAGTCATTACTCATTCAAATTACCTTTTAACCAAAAAATATATAAAAAATGCAATTTCAACAAAAGTTCTACCGAAATGCATATATATCCAATTAATACTATACTCGCCAGTAAATATAAAATATTGTATTAAAAATCAAGTTGTAAATGATATCACATTTTTATAGAACGAAATGTGATTCGATTTTATAAAAAAAAAAAAAAAATCTCAATAAGTAAAACAAAAAATAAAGCTACATACAAATAAATTTAATTTTACAATGTTACCTTGTACAACGATGTACAAATCTCCATTAATTACCAACTGTTAATAATAAATTAATAGGTACTTTAAAAAGTTATGTGTTTCGATAGTCACTGAATAGAATAGTCCTTTAATACATTTTTAACCAATGTACTTAGAAATCATAAATTCTATCTTTTCCGAAATATTCATTCATCTACCTAGTCGGAAAAACGCAATGTAAACTCACCCTAAGCGTGCAAAATTATTTTCATAGTTAAGACCTAACATACTCTTGATACTACATCGAATTTACGAAACGGATAAGGCTGAAATATAACAGTTGCAAATCGTCGTTCGAGTGGTTCACCATTAACTAATAGTGAGCAACCACGTATCTTTACCAAATCAAAAGTAGATATATAAAGCGGGTGTATAATTAACCATCGTTTGATAATAATAATAATAATAATAATAATAATAATATCCCATTTTAAACATATTTCATTTTTTATCGGCAATAATAATATTCAACGTATATATACAACACATATATTTGTACAAGTCTTCAACTATAACAGCAGAGTACTACCACCACCAAAAGCAACTGCACGACCTACCTACCTCCGTGTTACCCGACCTCAACCGCGACTCAATCTGCTTGCATGACGGAATTATACCATCTCGTCGTAATCTACGCTATTGGGTACGTGACATTGTTGGAACCCCGAACACTAACAGCAGCGGCTATTGTGCACAAGGTGTATAAATGTTGTGCTTTTGTGTATGCGTGTGCGTGTGTACAACACTCGGTCGACTGCGGGTGCTACGTGTTAAATTATTACTTAATTAAACCGTTATCTCTGAGAGGGGTAGTTATGGTGGCCGAACGCGAAGATATTCATTGGGCTCGAGGGTCGGAAACGGAAGGATCGACTTAAGTCTTGAGGGACGCGAGCGTGCGCGAGCAATTCGGTCGTGCAGCCGGGCTACGGAATGCAGGGTGGCCGGGAGGTAGGTTGCGGGACGAAGGATTTCGCACAGGTAAAATACGAGTCCCGCTACCCCTTTTCTGCATCGGCACGACGCTCGTGCGCCCCCCCCCCCCATGTCCAACACCGCTAGATTTATCGTGTTTTAAGTTCGGTTCTTCTTCGTCCCTTAGCTCATGACCCCTCGAACACAATCTCTCTCTTTCTCACTCTCTATCTCTCCCCATGTGTCTATCCATCTTTTTCCAACTATCGTCGTCATCATCACCCACACAAGTATAAACGTATGTACAATATAAATGTTTGCTTCTTTGCACGTCTTTCTTCAACATCCCGTAATCGTCTCTAAAGACGGCGTTACTTCTTCCGCGCATATAAAAAATAAACTACCTTTGTCCACGTGGCTTTACGAGTGCACGGACCTAAGCAAATAATGTACGGATTTGTCAATTAATAATGTAATTTCGTTGATCCCAAGTAGAGACCAATAATAAATATTAAACAATTATTATCTTTAAATAGGCTAAACATTCCTACGGTTGAGAGCTAAGTAGAATATTCTTCGATGAGTTCCTAATTAAAAACTGTGTTACGTTTCAACATTTGCGATAGGCTTAACTTCGGTCACATTAAAACAGTAAATATTTTACATGTAGATTTCTTGAAAGTATAATTTACCCGATGTAACATTCATTCAACCATTAAACAAATGAAAATTAAATTTTTAAGTAATTAACAGTAGTGGATTTTTATTTCGGGTCGAAGCGTGAAATATATAGGTTTGCAATGAAGTTTTTTTTCTCTTTATCCGTAATCACATTTTCGGCTACTAAATCTACATTAGAAGTTTGGAGTGGAAACTTTTTTGTTGTAAATTAAACGCGAATGGTACACTGTGAGAAAATCATTTTTACGGTAATGATCCTAAAGAAGAATAAAAAAAATATAAATAAAAATAAAAATTTTGAAACGCCTACCGTTAAACGTTGTCCCTCAAATTAAAATTAATATTTCTCGATAAAACAAAAATATTTATTCAGCCGAAAGTTCGATATGAAGTTAACCCGCGGGGGCGCAACACGATTGCGCACTTTCTACCTTTTTACCTGAAAAAAACACAACACCATTGCGCACAAAATGATATGTGTATATATAACTATGAATATTGTATAATAATACAATATATATATATATATATTGTACAACATAAAATAATGTATGCATGTATAATTATTAATTATTACATATTAATTCACAATTTTCCTTCTCAACTATTACAGGCTTAAGATTGTCAACAAATTATTAGCGTTGGCTTGGTTAAAAATTGTTTTTTTTAAACGTTTATCATACATACATTTTCTCCATAACTTAACATCAGAAAAAAACCGGCGGATATCTTATTCCGTATTTCTAAGTTCTTGTTTAATTATTTTTTTGGGTCTAGTAAGCAAATCATTTTCGCATTTTCTTTTTCAACTTGTCTACTAGGTAATAATATTCTCTGGAATCTCGTCATGTCTATGCTCATTTAACATACTCAACACTTTGGTCCTTGTCAACTAGTAAACTGGCTGTACAATTTTTATTTGTATAGTGATACCACATATTTCCACACTTTTTCAGAACTAAATTTATACCCATCAACTAAAAGACATAGCTTACCATTTTCGGTTTCAATTTTTTTTTTGTATTTGTGTATCCATTTTCTAAAAACAAAATTTCACAAATAAAACGAAAATACACACGTTGCGCGATACGGGCGCCCGCGTGTGACTGGCGACTGATGAAATAAATATTATCTAACTTTAAGATCGGATGTGAACACTAGCCTATCAGTTATAGGTGATAAAATATTATTAACAAACTAGTCGCCGCTATAATATAGTATCCATTATAGATGAGTTTCTTAAAGTTCAAAATAAAATAATTTTAGACATTTAGCTTACACGTAATTTAGAAAAAAAAAACAATTGTTGACAGTCCTAAGCCTTTAATAATTGAGAAGGAAAATCGTGAATTAATATGTAATAATTAATAATTATAAAATAATACATTATTTTAGGTTGTACATAAATTATTATACAATATACATAGTTATATATACACATATCATTTTGTGCGCAATGGTGTTGTGTTTTTTTCAGGTAAAAAGGTAGAAAGTGCGCAATCGTGTTGCACCGAATCCGCGGTCGCTGTGTCATCATCTACAGTGATCGGCAGGCTCACGCACTAGCTTCCGTCATTGCAATCTCCGAAAAAGACGATAGGTCGGGCGCACATCGAGACACAGTTTAGATGCAGCACAGCGTAAGGTAACGCAGTGCATGAAAAACTGTGTGGTCCATGTGAGCGCATATTGCTACGCAGTTCTGTGTCACCCAATCATGAACGGAATGATTTCAGACAATTTAATAAATGGAAGTTCTGAATCAGATTCTGATGATGAATTCGATGAACTTTTTATATTATATTCATTAAATACGCGAAAAAAATTAAGGAAAAGTGATTTTATAAAAATTTAACTTTTGATTTTGTCTTCGTATAGTCAACCATGACGTATAAGACACTATAATGTCGGACGGCTTCAATCACAGACTCTACCGTAGTAAAATTAAAATAAAAAATAAAATATCGAATCAAAATTAAAAAGATGGAAATTATGTTAAGCCGGCATAACTGTAAGACATTCCAAACGCGTGTGGCACGTGCGCAGTAAAACCGTGTGACGGACACTGCGCGACGCAGGTCGACACAAGCACAGTAATAGTCCGCTATGTTACAATGTGCGTCCGGCGTTATTGTTTTTTTCCCCGCACCCTTGTGAAATGATATGTCACCTTGGTCCGCGAGACTTACACGCGCGCATTCGCGTCCGCACGTCGGATGTGGAAGTCCACCGTTAACCGCCAAGCGTGTCCCGCAATTCGCGGCAGAAAGAACCGTGCGCGCGCGAGCGGCTGACCGTGAAATTGCAACGCAAACGTTTCGCGCCACGTCTGCGGGGGCCGAACGCGCGCCCATCTGCCCCGGTGTGTTATTTATTATTCCGGTGCAGCCCATGAAACTTAATTAACCATTCTGTACCTGGACGACATCTGCACACCTATATATATATATATATATACTGTTTTACTACTCACCATGGTTGAATTGGTTCACGGAATTCGCGTTCAGATCGACTTCTTTGCCGGATTGCAAGCTGCCACTGATTATTATAACATCTGAAACACGCCACGTCGGAACGACGGTATTAATGGTCATTCGTGTTATTGTCACTGTTACAACCGAGTATTGAATATTTTAACGAATATAATTTTTTTTTTTTTTTTTAGTGCCCGACTCAATCGATTTTCTGCAGCCACGCAATTTTCGAACCAAACATTTAAAGTATCAAAACTCGTTTTTAAGTATATTTACTTCATTTGGACATTAGAAAATTACAATTTTCGACAGGTTTTTTTATTTTTCTTCATCGGCGGTAAAAAAATATAACTATATAATATATTTCATTTCTGTTATAATTGCAGATTATTTTCCAGAGCCTTGTTGCGTTTTTAAGGAGGGGCATTATATTTATTTATTTTATCGTGACACCGAAATCTAAAGGCTGATTATAATATAATTATGGTCTTACCAATACATTTAAATACGAATCTCTTTGTGATTTCAACTGAGATAAATAGGTACATCTAAATAAATTATAGTCATCCACTATAAATATGATTCACAGTAATTTTATAATGATGGCAAATATAAACATGTTTAACAAGAAAAATAAATATCGTTCACATGTATTTATGTAAATAAAAACATTTTTGAGCATGATTTCCGGGTATCTCGAGAAAACCGTTCAGTATTTATTATGCAAACCAATGTATTTACATGTTGTAAATTTAGATTTAAAGACTTAAAAGATAAAAGTTGAACGTGTTAAAAGCTATATCATTAATATTGATGATTTATTAACAACTTATGGATGAGTTAAATCTTAAATTTAAAGTTAAATAATGTCATTAAACATGCAACAATTATATCATAGATTATTTTCAACTGCTCCATTGCTAACTAGTTTTATAAATTTCTATAAACAGCAGCTTTTAATGTAACTCCAAAAAATAAAATTCATCAATTTTTTTATCAATCTTCAGTGTTTGATTTGTCAACATAAAATTTAAGGTACATAAAATATATTAAGATACTAAATATAATTGATATTTTTTGTAAAATAAATCAAATTGAAATTATTTTTCGAATAATTAATTAATTTCTGATATATAGATGTGATGTAATATTAATTAATATTCATTTATAAATCATTCATTTGTAAATTATAAGCTTAATTCGTGTCTGTAATCCATGACAGCAAAATGTAGATAAAGTTGAAAAATATTAATCTGTTCAAAAACCTAAGTACAAAATTCAAAAATGAAATTATTTATTCTAAAAATTGTCTTTAGTTCATGTATTTAATTCAATCAAACATTTTAATAACTAAACTAAACATCCAAAAAGTAACATGAATCGATTTCAATATAATACACTGTATTTTAGATAGTTATTCATTATATATTTTTCTCGTGAGTAGATATTTGAGTTTTATAACGATAATTCGATTTTTTAAATTGATATGAAAGTTAATAAGAGACTTGATAAAAGGTGGACGAGTTTAGACGACCATAAACCTTAAACTATTCAATAAGGGTCATACAGCGCTGTTCCAATAAGCTGCTGCAGTTCGAGAATAGTATTTTTTCATCCTCCGAAGTTTTTTTTCTTCTCCCTTAAGTCGTTTATTTTATTTTATTTTTTGTGTAATATTGTGTATGATATCTGGTCGATACGCACAAAATGTGATTGTTATTTGAGAACAATATTTATATTCCATGTAGTTATTATATTATAGAAACCTTATAGAATTATGGAAGTTCCAGTTGATTTTTAATGACCACTTTAGGTACGCAATACAATACATCATATCATAAACAAAAATATGTATATACTTATCAGATAACGTTCATTATTATACAAATACTATATAATATTTGAACAACTTACACAATAACATATTATTAAACATTAAGTAAAATATAACTGACAAAACATATTTATACGTTTTTAACAATATGGGTGGTTCATAATTAACAAAATATTACAAGATAATTTACGTCTATCATAATATAATTAAATTAGTTAAATTAAATAAAAAATGGTAATCGCAAACAAACACGGTACAAAGTAAACTGTGTAACATCACGTTTATGTTTCAAATCATATAAATAGTAAATAATTGCACACCTTAATAATTTACCAACCTATAATTGGTTATCTATTATAATATGGATGTGTTAACATAATTAAGAACAAATTATGAATAATTCAATGTGTGTAATACACCGTTTTTTGTGTATAAATTAACTTTGAAATAATCTTGTACTGATTAATCAAAAACAACTTCATGTTCGATACCAAACGTATCAATGTTAAAAAGAACAAATTTAAAAAGTAGGTAAAATAAAATATTTAAACAAATTGTTATATAATATAAAATATAGGACTATTTTCAAGTTAATTATGTCAAAATAATTGTTTATTTTACATTCTAAACGAATGATAATATCATATTATATAATAATGTCCACTCATATTATGAGTGGACATTATTCCCTGTGGAATAGGTCCAAAAGGTGACGTAGTATAATGCAATGGGATAACGATACGGGAGTCATGGGAATTGATCGCGCCAGATTTTTTTCACTACACTGGGAAATCTAACCCATATTGTGGTCAGATGCGCGACCGCTCCACCCTTATAATTGATAGTTAGATTAGTTTAACTCAGCCATTAATATCGTTAAGATTCTTGTATTATTTTATTAAGTGTAATCATTTAAACAGTTTTAAGTATACGGATAGATTGCTTCGTGCAAATCAAATGAAGCAACCCGTGTACAGAAGTCTCATCGATTTTTTATGCATAGCTCATGATTATTATAAGTACTCATATAAACAAGCCTTTACAACTTCTTTTAAATTATACCTTGGAAATCACTATTTTTCCAACCATTTAATTAGTGAAATATTTAGTTGTTTGTTAATACAAGTCTTATCAGAACAAGGCATAGAAATTAAATAAAAATTAAAATTAAATGAAGTGTTAAGTACCTATTATAATAGTATTGCAAAAGGTATACACGAAAACTTTTAAAATGTTCTAAATCAGCCATATCGTTTTACTAAATCGATAGTAATTTTATTAGTTAACTTCAATTATTTTGCTTTTATATTTGCACCCGCGGCACATTTTTTATTGATAGAAGTTATAACATATATTTTTTAAGCCAATTGATATCAATCAAATTTGTTCAGTCTTAACATATTGCTTTATACTGCAATTCATTCAGTATAAAAATATAATTTTCGAATACCTAAAAAAATTTTAAAATCATAACTAGGGCTCGGAAGTTAATGCATTTTGCATTTTTTTTTCGAACTTTTTAGAAGATGCTATCCTGGCCACAATTTGTTTCATTAGTATGTAAATCCAAATAACTAATTTTTATTTTGCATTATTTGGTGTTTGTTACTTTTTAAGTCATTTTTCCACATTTTTAGTCATTTTTACTGATTTCGCACTAATTCATTTCTTATTGTTTCTTATCGACCATTATTCCGATAACTTAAGACTTTTTCGATTTTATCTTGTCGATTACATTTGTCGTTGCCGTGTTGTAGTGAATAGTATTATACCTAAATTTTATTATTTTTTCCTAATATTCGATTAGTATCCAATACTATCTCGTCAGTTACAGTCGACGCTTCATTGTCATGTTATAGTGAATAATACCTATTATATCTAAATTTTATTATTTTTTCGTAATATTTTCGAAATGGCGAAAATTAAAACGTCGGTTAGTGCTCGACTGCGTCTCCCAATTACTTCAGTGGACGCGGAGAGAAATTTTTCCAAATATAAATATTTATAAACAGATAATCTTCATTGATTTACTTTTTATAACATTAAATACGTTCTAATCATACAATGCAATGATTTTGATTTTTGAGTAATTTGTAAGCTTTGATAAATTTATAAAACAAATGTTTATCATTTTTTTATCTCATATTTTAAGTACATTTGTTGTCATTTTGATGTCATATTTTGAGTAATTTGTAAGTTTTGATAAATTTATATAGAATGTTATAGTAAAATAAAATGAAATATTTAAAAAAAATATTTATTAAATTAAATTTTTATTAATTTAAAACAAATATTTGTAATTATTTAGGTCATTTTTTAAGGAACTTTTTTTGTCATTTTTATGTCATATTTGCATTTTTTTTAGGTCATTGTTTAATGTTCTTAAGGTCATCAACTTCCGAGCCCTAGTCATACCTAATAATAATAATAGTAATAATAATGAAAATTTTAGCTAAATTTCTATCCAAACATATTCAAATATTTTGTTTATATTATTTTACAGTGTTTAAAATTAAAAATAATATCGATATAAATAATCTCAACAATTATTATTATTATTAATTAACTAAAAATAATTATATTTAATATTGTACTTGCATAATTTACACCATTATATTATGAATTCTCTTGATATCTGGTATTCATATTTTCTTTCTTTTTATGTAAATATGTATATATAAATATAAATTATATAATACTTTAAATATCAAAACCGACAAGTATATATTTTAAACTATGTCAAATAGATTATCACACAATAATTTTTTATGAAAGATATTAATTGTAACCATTATCTTAATCAGTAGTTATTTGAATGTTAAGTATTATAATTTTACAATTATGTTATATAACGATTTCGCATTTATTTTCTAACTAAATTAAGTTGTATTATAAAAGCAGAAAGCCTAAATTATAAAGAGGTCTTCTGTGATGATCGTGATATGCAAGCACTATTGGACAGTTAACTTTATTTCATATTTTACCTTTTTTTTTTTTTTTGTGTGTGTTACGTCTCAGTTCTTTATAGTGATCGACAATGAAAATTTATTTTATAAAAAATTTTAATGTTGCACATAATAACTATCAATTTTTTTGTTTACGTCATAACAAAGAACGCAGGGAGAACAGTGGTTTATTTTCATTACAATAATAAAAACGATTTTGCAACGTTATAATTTTGCTATAATATAAATTATAGTTTATTTCACTTATAATTTACGACACAAAGTACTACAGATTAGGAAT